CTAGAGTTCTCTGCGACTTTAACCGTGCTTCCAACGAACACTTTGCGAAAATTCTACTTTTATACCTATTTGAAAAATGATCACTTTGGCTGTCGTTATAACTCCGTTTCCTATCTGTGAATGCTTTTTTAAACATGAGAGAAATTGATAGCTCTATTTTCAGGTGATAAACGAAAATCGTTAGAGCTTAGTTAGAAACTGATTCGAAAAGAGAAAAGAGTTGCAGTCTGGTAAGGAAGTCTTACAAACCTAAATCGTCTCTCCGATCAAAGAAAAAACACTCTATCGTTTTTCGCTTTCCATGTTTCCTTCAGGTTTCATTACTTTTTCATCTTTTTGATGAGATCTGAATCATTGGACGAATAACTTAGAAGGATTCTAGTGCACAGCACATGATTCTAATCTATAAATCTAATAGCAATTTTTCCAAGAGAGCAATTTCCAAATTTTCAACTTGAAAGAGACAGAAAATTGAAAATCAGCTGGCCAATGATAACATGTCCAGGAAGAGAATTTTCGCCGCGTGAAAACTACGATAGCGACAAGGGGAATGTACTGGTGAGCTATTACGTGCAATGAAAGCATGATGCGTGATGTCGGAAAGTTGTCATATGGGTGAGAAAAGCTCTCTCCAGTCCATGAAGAAAGTCAAAGGTCTGACCAAGGTCAGGCAACGCTCTAATTGAGCTATATTAGGAAACTCTTCACAGAATCGACTCCAACAACATTCAACGAAGTTCGTGATAAAGGCGAGATCCTCAAATGACAGCCGAATGCATAAAAACATCCAAAGAGTGATGGATGGAAGATAACGAAATTCAAGAGAAGAGCCGGAATTCGCGCAATACGCGAAGTCGGATCGTACACATAAGACAAAATAAATTGGAGGGATATGACGAACAGCAATTACCATGACTGACTTACCATTGACGTCGGTACTGATCGAACAATTCTTTATGTTCTACAGGAGTTTTGGATTAACTTGAAAAATTCACAGGTGAACCAGAAAGACAAATGCCCTCACACGTGAGCTGGCGCCTTATTTCAAAGCGACCCCACGTGAGCAACACACGGGCCAGTCCCACTCTTAACAGCACGGTGAGCAGCCTTTTTGATCAATATAGCGTTCATTTAGAAGTTTGATCTTCGTCAATACTATAGATATTTCGCCGAATATAAGGCTAATGTTGCATAAAATACGTGCAGGCTCTGAGAGAAGCAAAATCGCCCAAACGTCAGTCATCAGTCAACAACACCAACACCAACGACAAAAACAACAACAACAACAACAACAACTAAGACCTATACCAACCTCGCATCAGTTCAAAAAAATCCTCGCGCAAGAACCGAGAACACAAACGCGCAAAACTCTAGAGGCATTCTGGATGAATTCCAAGAATCCGAAAATGAACCCCAGGGAGGAATGTCTTGTTATCACGCGTGATATTGGACAGTATATAAACCTGTTATTCTGATGGGAGGGGCACATTACGATTCCATGTGAATTCTGTGCGGTCGGTCTTCACGCGATATACTCAGTGGAAGACTCATAGAAAGCGGTGAGTGTGCAGAGCTATGCTAAATGTGATTGAAATTTTGGTTTAGCGTTTTCTCTGTTTGGTTATGGAGGTGTTTGGCCGAGTGGATTGCTGTCAACTTGACCCTTCCAGGCTCTGAGGAAGACGAAATCCGCCGAAACGTCAGCTTGTGCGTAAATAAAGAAATAAAATAGCACCTCGTGTTTGCTGAACAGAAGTAGAAAGATATATTCAAAAAATTAGTTTATAGGACCGTATAGATGAATGTAATTCTTTAGTCTTTAAAGAAATAGCTGAGAGACAGGCGAAACGAAGGACTCGCATGGCGTGGTGGTGAACGCGTTACTCTCTGGAAAGGACAATAGCGCGTTCGTTCCCCACCATAGACACCTGCGGTCCAGAGTTTTGCAAATATCTGAGCAACGTTGTGATTGTATTTCGCTTAGTAACCTGCCATGAAAATTATAGAAGGCAGAAAACAAAACGTTAAACATAATTCTTTATTAACTCTTTTATTTACTGCCTTTGTCTTCTTAATGGCAGGTTATGTTGCGAAATATAACTCGTATGAAATGCTGAGATAAGCGTGTTCAGCGCGTGTTCGTTCTCCATTGCATACACCTGTGGTCCGGAGTTTTGCAAATATCTCACCATTTCATACGAGTTATAATTCTTTATATTTCTGCTGAGCAAAAAAAAATAACAATCAACACTCAACCATCAACAGAAATATAAGGAATGATGAATATCTTTTGCTGAAAGCAGCATAGAACGAGATACATTATATGAATGGCTTGTAGTTTTCGTTGACTTTTTAGATAACAATAGGTTAGGATGGAAATCTCTGATGACATGGTGGGCTGTCATTTTTCACCATCTTCGCTTCGGTTTTGATTATTCCGTCGCATACCATCATTCATTAGTCGCTTGGCTTAGTGTAGCTTTCGTCGATACTAATTAAGGAACAAAGCTACGGGCGAATAGCTCTTGCAAGAGGACTTGCGTATTATAGAAGTCGTAAACCTTTTTTGCAACGAGCATGAGTGGATTCAAAAAAAGAAACTTGAAAACGACAGTAACACTGTGAGGTCTCATAGAAAAGTTCTCATACTGTCAAAAACCTTTGTCAAATGAAGCCGCTTCTATCAGAAGCCTTTAATGGAGCGACGTTGTGCCCGTCGTTTGTAAGATAGAACAGAACTCGTACTTTGCTCAAAAGGAACTGTTTAGTGTTTACAGAGTGGGGGACCGGTTTTAATGACACAGTCGTCGGTGCCTCCATCTTCTATTCGTGATGGAAAAGAATAGCGAACGTAGATCGATGGCAATAATCGGTCGGCGACCCAATGTCTGAACGTCGAAGATGCAATCAACAACAATTCCACTCAATGTTGGCGATTTATGAGCGAAACTATCACGATGGAAAACCTCAATGAAAGCCTTGAAGCTGAACTGGTAATGAAATTGAGTTTAGAATTAGTGGCAGATTCAAAAATGGATTGAGATATTCTAGTGAAAAATATGAGTAACTTCAAATGAATCCCCGTTATCGTAGAAGAAAAAAACCGTCGTCTTTAAAGAAATCGACACAGATGGGATAGAAAAAATACGTTGATGGCCAATACGGATAACCCAAAGTCTGAAGGCATTTCGAATATATCCCAAAAATTCCAAAGATTTACTGCAAGGAGGAATGCCTTGTTATCAACCTTGATCTCATACAATGTCTCAGACCGATCTTTTCACTTGATTGAGCCAGGATATGCACCTGTATAAACGCTGTACGATTAGTCTCCAACAGTAGGTGAAAAACTTACGAAAAACAATGAGTGTTTAAAGAAGTTTCTCCCATTGCGATTGAAATTTAGGTTCCGGGATTTTTCTGTTAGTGTTATGGAAGTACTTCGTTAGGTAGATTGATAACCAATGTAACACTTTCTAGGATCTGAAAAAAAAACGATAGCCGTCCAAGCGTTGGCCAGCGAGAAGAAAATATTGTAGTAAAAACTTCATTTATGCTCATCATGAATCCAGTAAGCAAAGGATAAAGCTTTGAATCACTTCTCAGCGATGTCAAATTTCATTCCTTTGCTCAATTCACTGATACGGCGAGTGTTACAGATGGCAACAAAGTTACTTGAAAATAGCAGTAAAGTAGACGCTCATTTATGTGGCTAACCACCTGTATCACCTGTAGTCCCGTTTATCATCGAATGGCTCGAGCGGGTCAGTAAATCTTCCATTTTTCCCTGTCGCGTCCAAGTGTAGTCCAGTGGGTTTTGCTCACTCTAGGGACTGGTCGAGCATCATATTTTTCTTCAAGGCCCTTTGTGAAAAACTCTAATCATCGGGTCAGTGGTTTTCCTGCACTACGTTTGGCATTCCGAAGAATCCAGTTACTAACGGCTCTTGTCCATCGGTTTTCATTCATACGCATTCCACCTTATTTTCGACTGTTTGGCGTACAGAATGGCATCTTTGATTTTTGATCGTTGACGCAGATCGGAGCTTCGGATCCGATCCTTTACTCGTATGGAACAGGATACTCCTAGCATAGTCCTTTCAATTGCGCGTTCGATAACGCTGAGTGATCTTCCATCCTGCTTACCCAGCGACCAGGTTTTTAACGCATACGTTAGGGCAGGAAGTAACGTTGAGTCGAAAAAGTGTGCACGGAGTCTGGTGCTCTTTGTTCTCTTCACTACATCCTTAATGCTTTTGAAACCTCTGCAAACTACTCGCTTTCTTCTGCTCAGCTCAGGAGCTAAATCGTTCATGTTGATTTCCCGACCTAGATAGATATAACTGGAGCATTCGGAGAAGTTCCGTTGAGCGTGAATGGTGCAAGCGAAACCAATCCGTTCCTCATAAACATCGTTTTTGTGAGATTTAGACGAAGACCAATCTTTTCACGGGCCTTATCAAAGTCGCCAAGCATACGTTCCGCTTGGCTAATGTTTGGTGTTTTAAGGACAGTGTCATCTGCTAAGCGAACATGGCGTAAATGCCGACCATCGATTTTCACTCCTATATTATCCCATTCCAATATCCGCATAATGTTCTGGAGTGTGGTGGTAAATAATTTTGGCGAGATGGTATCGCCTTGTCTAAGTTCTCTTTTGACGTCAATGTTAATATCGTTGTAGAATGGTGGTACCTTGGTTGCGAAGTTTTTCTACAGTTCACGAATCTTTATGTACTGAGTAGGGACACCTTGACTATCAAGGGCTTCCAAGACTGCTTCTATCTCAACTGAATCAAAGGCCATCTGTAAATCGATGAAGTGGGAATTTAGCGGCTCATTCACCTTTCCGCGAGAAATAGAATCTTGCACGAAGGAGACGAACGGTGTGATTCCGTGTAGAAATTTGGGACAACAATGACATCAGTTAGGCAAAACCTTCCATTCTTCTGTTTACTATAATGTGGTCTATTTCGTTATGGTACTCCATTGGGAGACTGTCACGTCCATCGTTTGGGGTGAGGCTTCTGGAATTGCGAGTTAACATGGATGGTCTTGCTCGCCATGATAAGCTGAGGTAACCGCTCACCCTCTTCGTTACATTTTAATCCATGGTTTCCAATGTGACGTTTTTCAGACGTTCTTCTTAATCCAATCTTGGCGTTGAAATGACCAATGATGACCTTGAAGAATGTGTGGTCTTCTCTGTAAAACTTCTCCAGGTCCATATAGAACGCTTCAACTTCTTTTTCGGAGTAGTTTGATGTCGACGCGTAAACGCGAAGATTGTCAATGCCGGTATTGATTAACGTTTTTTTAATCATAAACGTTTGATTCGGGTTGTTAGCTGTTCGAATGAATCGATGTTGATGGACAAACTCGTGTTGACGAGAACATTGACGGCGTTGAAAGGCAGGCATCGTCTCGTCTCGGCCAGGCCGATAACGTACCTTATCCTTCTTACCTGTATGAGCAAGTATTCTATCGAAGGCTGGGATGCAAGTGTACGTGCATTGTAGGTACAGATCGTCACCGTAGTTCTTTGTAATTCAGGCAGATTCCATTGGGACTGAGATTTTAATAGCCTATCCGTACTCGTCCCACCCAATCCTGCGAAACTGGGGCTTCTTCCGAGTCAGGGGAATGAGGCCCGTTTTTTTTTACTGTGGTTAACATTTTGATACCCACGTATAGCTGGGCTGTAAACGTGGGGACTAGTTATACTTACAGGTAGCTTGCCAAGCTTTCCCGGAGTATACATGGAGCTTATTTGTTGGAAGCGACTCTTAACCGTCTCCCATTTACTTTCCAGTCACTTGATTGCAGGCTTTTGGCCGAATTGACTCGTAGAATACAATCCGCATAAGCAAGAGCGCACCCACACACGCATGCATGAATACGTCTATCAAATACAGAAAGCATGCCCCAAATCGGCGCAGCAGAAACAGGGAGTCCATCCCCTGGATCCACCTGCGTCTCAAGGAAGCAAAGGTCGCTTTTGGTCCGCTATTAGCTCCCTATCGGCCACCTGGGGACTCACCACGTAGCCTCGCGACTAACCGGCTCGAGATTCCTCATATGAGGGAGATCCGTGGTATGTGGCTAATAAAACGATTAATTACAAATTCACTGAAAAAAAGAATACCACTTTACCCTGAATGGAGAAGTGGACATGAAATCGTATGAAGAGCGATCAAAGATGGATTTCAAGTAAAGCGAAAGGACAAAATAAGATATAAGTGCAAAGAGAAGACACGTCGTCTGATGACCAGATGTGGTAATTTATCATCATAAAAAAATTAATAAATTTCGACGACATCATAGCGAAGCATCATTGAAAGCAATAATGGATAAAAAATGAGGTGTTCGGAGTAGATGCGCGGTTAGATGAATGTTCCCTCATGAATTCGATAACAAGAAAAAATCAACCATTACGTGCAACTTCCTGTTCAGTGCCTGATACTCATCCATGGAAGGCATTATGTGGAATACATCCACATTTATTCTGAGATATTTGCAAAACTCAAACACCAGGCTTGATTCGAGCCCGTGATTACTCTTTCCGAGAGCTCACGTGTTACTGTCATGCTGTCCACAACACCGCTAAGATCTTTACTTGGTCATTCTCTCCACCACATTCTACCCTAACGGTGTCATCAGCAATCATCCATTTTGATGAGAACTAGTGAATAGAGTTCCCATAAAGACATTGAGCATGATGAGGCTCATAAAATTTTACACCCATTCGGAAAAAGGCAGACATTTCAGAGAATTGCTAACTGATGCGGACGGAGCCAATCTGCGGAACACGGGAAATGAACAAATGGCCCTAATTCTGTTCAGGGTTCGCGTTGATTAATCCTTGAGGATGCGCCATGCATTTGATTCCACCAAGCATTGCATATTCCACGTAATAAGTGCGAAGGCCCAGAAATATAAAAGGCAGTCTTTTCTCTCTATCAGGAAGGTCTGGTACTAATTTGCCAACCCCAATCTAACGAATATGCGGAGGGAATAGAGATGTTCACTCTTGGGAACAATATTGAACCGAACCCACGCACCAACCACGCTTGTATTACAAGGCACTTTAGCAATTGCGGTTAATAAATAATGGTTTTCCCTTGGTGGTTTACCTACTAATCGTCGGTTGGAGTAATCTCGGGCGTCGAGTACGGTACAGCGAAAAGTAACCTAATTTGAAAAGAGGGTTGGAATTTCCACATGAAAACTAAACTTTGAGCAAGAAAATGTCAGGAAAATTAGAGAATACCTAATAATCGAAGAACATGCATTCTATGTAGTAGGAGCCTGGTGGAAAGGCGGAGAAACTCATTGTGATTCACGAGGTCTGAGGACTAGTATTGATGATAGATGCGAACGATATGCGGCAGCCTTCCTGTTATATCCAGGAACTGACCGGAATTGGAGAAATGATGTTTATATGGAAAATGTGACCGCATACTAGTGAAGGCGGTTATTCTTGTCAAATCCATTAATGGTGTAGTGACTGCTTAGGCAATAAAGGACGCGTCTACTCTCACGGTGTTGTCCAGTTTCTAGAGGTTTCACTAGTGATTTCGGTATCAATTTCCCGTATTGTTTCGACGCACAGAAAAAAAAGTAAAGTTATTTGAGTGCGAGGACCGAAGGAGGACTTCTATGGTTTTAGATTTGCCGGAGTTTAAAAGAACATTGCGAGTGCTTTATTGCAACATTTATTGAGTAAGTAAATTTAAAAATAAACTACACTTGAAGATTTTTGCTGCATCTTCATCTATTTCTCCCAGTAACAAAGTTGATTTCAAGAAAAAAAAACTTATCGAGAACCGAACTCTCATTCCCAAAAAAATCGCAAATTAAGTTTAATAGAACGCCTAATATTATTAGGTTGTTCGGAAATAAATAAGCGCTTTATAATATTCGTTGTTTTAATATATTTTTTTGATACACAAACGCTGCAACTGCTTGTCGTGGTGACGACTTGGGGCAGACTTTGGCCAGGCTGTCCTCGGGATTCCAGGAAAACACAATGGCTTAATCAGCAAATCCCCGAAAAATGGTGGGTATGCTGGAGCTCGCACAACTAGTGATGACGGGCCGTTCAAGTATCAAGTAAGTAAGTAAAAAATTTTTTACCAATAAAATATTCTTCATGCCGTGCAGTATTATATATCTTTAGAAAACTGATTTTATGCTTTTTCTAGTCTTTTTTTGTATTTTGTCAAGAGCTACATTTTTTCAGCAATTTCGAGGTTTGCAATTTTAGACGCCAAAAACGAATTTTCGAAAATTTTTCTTTCATGAGTTCAAACTCGGTCGTAGTGCACCACAGACGGCACGAAAAATTAATGAAGTTTGCGGCGAACGTAGTGTTGGTGAATTGCGATCTCGTGATTGCGTCCTCGAAGTTAAGGAAGGCCGCAGACGTAACAGTGAACTTGAAGACGACGAAATGTAGTCAATAGTGGATGCAAACATGCGAAAAACAATTTCCACTCATTTGAATCGCATATGGAAGGGAAAAAAACTCGACAAGTGGGTGTCGTATGAATTAAGCGATAATAAAAAAAAATCGCCGTTTCGAAGTGTCGTCTGCTCTTATTATGCGCAACAAAAACGACCCTTTTCTTGATTGAATTGTGACGTGCGACGAGAAGTGGAATCTGTACGACAACCAGCAACGTTCAGCCTTCTTCTTTTTACGAATATGATTGCAATTGGGCTCCACAGCACTTCCCAAAGCCAAAATTGCACCAAAAAAGTTACGGTGACTATTTGATGGCCTGCAGACAAGCTGATTCATCACAGCTTTTTGAATCCTGGCAAAACGATTACAGCAGAGAAGCATTGCCAACAAATCGACGGAAGTCACTGTAAACTCCAACAACATCGACTGGTGTTAGTCAACAGAAAAGGACCAATCCTTCTACACGACATGGCTCAGTTTCACGTTGCATAACCAGCTCCACAGAAGTTGAACGAATTAGGCCACGGAACTTTGCCTCATCCGCCATTTTCACCAGACCTCTCGCCTACCGACTACCACTTCTTTAAGCACCTTGACAACTTCCTGCGCGAGAAATGTTTCACCAACGACGATAACGCAAAAAATTCCTTCAGCAATTCATCGCTTCCAGAAGTCCAGAATTTTATGGCTGAAATAAGCAAACTTATTTCTGGCTGTCAAAATGTGCAAATTCAAATGGTTTTTGAATAATATAGTTTTGCTTAAAGAAAGTTATAACTTTTCAAATAATATAGTTAAGAACGAATTTTAGTCTTGATCCTTAACATACTCTCCATGCTTTAGAAAGTCAAGAAATAAAGAGTAACTAGACGCTAGAATCAATGGAGTAGCTTCAGAAGGTATACAAAAGGTAAAATAATTATGACAATAACTTTGAGAGAAAGAGAAAGACGGGGAAAGAGGAAAAGACAAAGAAAAAAAAGAAATGCAAAAAATGAAAAAGGCCGAGTAAATGAATTTATCAGGAAGTAGGCGAGTAGCGATAATAGAAAGTGGAGCTCGTTCAAGCGATCCTTGATTCCCCACGAGAACGCTAATGGATGCCAGGTGTTTGAGAGCTTTCAGTTTCCATCTGGAAGCACTTCTCTTTTACTCTGTTCACTGAAAGAATTTTCTCTTTCAAATTTCGAGTATATCGTTAGATTTCTATACTAATTATAGTAAAAGGTTGTTTGCTAAAAACTTTGCCTCGTGCCCTCTGTAAAACCTGGAACATCAACGATGCTCAAGCCACCTAAGACGATACCAGCGATGTTTTCACTCGTATCTGATGTGTGCCATACCTACACAACGAATTCAGACAACAACTGGAGCAGCACAGGAATGCCGTGATTTCTGGTCAAGAATCTTCATGAAGAGCTCTGATTATAGAATGAAGTGGGAGCATCCGATGCATCGACTGTCCAGAAGTGGACGTTGTTATACATCCTTTATTGGCTTTGTCTAACATTTAACCAGTCGCTGGCATCGTTAGAGCTATAAAGTGGAGCAGTAATTAGTAAACACTAATATTATGGTCTCATTCACTGAAACACTGAAAATAATGTAATTAAATTAAAAAGGTTCTTCGAGGGGAGGTTGATATTAAACGAAAAGTAAAGGTTAAAGCTCTCGGCATTGATCAATCTCTGAGGGATGTGCCATGGATTCGAGTTCATTAAGAATCGTTTGGAGATGATTGGATGTATATCTGGCTTTTGAAATTACTCGCAGTGGCCTGCCGATGTATCGAGTTAGTGCTGCTATTCTCTCAGAGAAGTTCGGTATCAATTTGCCGAACCTGGAGGGAAGAAAAACTGGGTGAGCCTGGGGCTCGAGATCAATCCCATGTGTATTGCAGTGCGCCTCTAAACACTGCGTTACGCGAGGTTCTGGTATTACATATATTTCTAC